CAAGGTTTGGCGGCTTTATACGAGGTGGTGGCAAATGTTTACAATGCCAAAAATATTTCACATTAGGGTATTAGAGGACCCGGGTGGGTTAGGTAGCATTGCGCTTGCCTGCCACACCTTGGGTCGTGGGTTCGATTCCCGCCCTGCTCTGGGTGTTGTGTATGTCCCCCGTTACCCTGTAATTGGGCCTCCTGGCCTGTTGGGTAACGTTAATCAATAAAATAAAATAAAATAAAATTTAGGGGTTAGGGTTAGGGGATATGAACTGATTCGCCTTTCATCTTACTATTGCCAGTACAGTCGATAATTTTTTGGAATAGAAAATTCTGCCGTACTTCTTTATTTATTAGGCGCCTACTTTCAACTTATTAGTTTCACGTTTGTTTCCAATGGCATGGATTTTAAAATTGGAATTTAAAAATGGATAGTCAAAATTTATGCGAAGTTTTCAATAGGTGCTCTTATCAGTTTGGACCGGAGTTAAGGCGAAGGATTAAGGCACTCCAGTTACCAGTGTAACGAGATATGACCTTAGACTGGACGGCATTGTAAACTGCAGCGTACCTTTCGCAGACTCCGAGAAAGATCTATGCAAAGTGCAGCGGTATGCAGGTAGTGCCTGTACCCAAAAGATTCGTCATTTTTTCTAAAAATAGTACGTTATAGATTTAGTTACTACTAATATTGCAAAAGTTTCTGTTAGGGCGTCAACGTCCAGAATAATTGTATTTGTATTAATGATTTTTTAAAAGTGTTCTTTGTCGTTATCTTCCAAGTAATAAAAATTCTGTCTCCGGGACATTCATACTAAGATATATTAGGGATTACTGGAAATATCATTCTTCTTGATTTGGTGAATGCCGCTTTTTGCAGAAGAAGAAATGAGTTTCGAGTAATCCCCAGTCATTGCATGTAAACGAGTGGAACCTGATTTTATTATCCGCTGCAGTTTATATGTTATAAAATTTTACAATATGGGCTGGGAAGTATGATTAATGGATTAGTTCTGCTGCAGTTTCCATGTGCCCTGAATCGGAGTTGATGATTACCCGTTCCAATATCTGCATAAACTACCTGAAATAACATAAGTTTTTACCTCTCACCGCGGTAAATCCTCGCTTGGGAGGATTGCCCAGCCTAATTGACGGTCTCGTGATCGTCCTCGTGCTGAGGGATGGGGTTTTCCTGTTAAAAGACTCTCGTTACGTTGAAGATTTGCCACACCTTTCAGTTGTCAGCCTCCTCCTTCCTCTTTACCTTGCAAAGGGCCTATCAGAATGGATGGACCAGCTTTTAGCACTTTGTTAGCTTTTTTTATGGTTTGCGTTTGGTGAAAGTTTTGTTACTTCCAAATAAGAAACAAGTACTTCTGAAGAGGCATTCGTGAAACAAGATATTTTAGCTGCTCTGATAAATAAGAAAAGCAATGGTGTAGGTTGCTGATTGAGGTGGTATAAATTGCGTCTCCAATAAGCTTGGCCGACTCCGATAAGAGGGTAAAGAGAGCTTTTTGAATTCGACTAATTGTGGTGGACTCGGCAAAATTGTGATCAGTGTATGTTAGAGAAGTCCTAGACTTACCAGCAGCTGATTTTGGAATCCTAAAATGTCAGAATCTTTTTCAACACTTAACTGAGGGGCCACCGTCCGTTTTCACCTTGGTGGCCAGACGTTGTAAAAGATGGGACCCGCGACATTCAAATGGTGGTATTAGTTGTCTGACATTGAGGTGAGGTAGTGGCGAGAAGGTTGGAATATCTTATTCCTCGGGTGGTCAGATCTTATCCCAAAATCTCGAGGAATTCCGGAGGCAATTCCTCGGGTACAACGGTCAAATTTACTCAACTACCGTGAGCGACAACGATATCTGCGACTGTGACGGCGGTGGGTAAGCAGTTATTCCAACTTTTTCTAACCGCTTTAATACCTGACCGTTTGAAATTTCGGTTTCTCACGAGGACGAGGACTGGGATTGTTTTGCTGAAGAAAACGTATCAAAACTTTTAAAGGAAGTAAAAACTTCCCGTGAAAAGCAAGTGCGTCGTGAGTCAGGAGTCGGAGATAGAAGACGAAATTGTTACACAGACGACATGATCACTTTAAAATTCGTGAGTGGCGATACGTAGGTACGTATGTAGATTACCTACTTCGTTAATGAAGAAGGTACGGGTGAGAAGAGAGGAAATCAAAATCGTAAAAAAAAAGTGGTCTCCCGTTTCCGTCAGTCTGTCGTCTGTGTCGATTTTTATTAGACCAATCATCTCGGCAATTACTCGACCGATTGTTTTCAAATTTTGTATAAAATGAAAATAATGGTTAAACGCTAACCAAAACTTGGCTAATCATCTCCACCAACAATTTGATTATGTCCTTTTAATTTTTTTAGAAACGTCATTTAAATTTTATAAAATATACTCCTATATTTGTGGTTTAAATATGAATCTGCATTGATTTTTTACTCTGGGCATCGAAATTTTCGCAAAAAAATCCAAATTGTATCATTAATAATAATAATAATAATAACAACCTTTTATACTAGTATTAGGGATTCCAGATCGCTAGAAATGACTTGACAGTAAATTTTTTGTCATTCAAATGCATTCTTGTAATCACTAAAACTTAAACGTTGGCGGCCTTTTAAGAGGTGATACGAAATTTTTAAAATTTTTATGGTATAAGTGAATAAAAGTGAATTTTATCCAACGAAAAAACAGTTTAGCACACGAGGCGAAGCTGAGTGTGATAATGTTTTTGAGTGGGTAAAATTCGTTTATTCACGCGTACCATACAAGATTTTTTCCAATTTCGCAAAATTTTTCAAAAAAATTATTGTATAGGTAATCCATATACATAAATATTAATTGTACTTATACTAATATGATGAACTTGTTACATTATTTAGAGTTTAGAGGATATGAACCGATACACCTTCCACCGTACCATTGCCAGTACAATACTGCAGTGCAAACACTTTTATAATAAGCACATAGAATCGCAAGATAGTTCTCAATTTATAACTGAAAGCCATACTACCTTGCACTTCAAGCATTCGGAGAAAAAATGTTTTGCAATGTGAAAAACTAATTCACTCAGAGGAGTTAATGGAAACTTCACTTGTGTACAATATTCCACCCGTGGTTATAAATTTGGCGGAATTAGATTCGGATGGCTCACAATTTGAGTTTGTATAGACGAATTAGATTAATTTATTTAGACTGACATTACTGACATTTTATAGAAAATTAATCATTCTGCTTGACACTTCTAAGCCGATTTTAAATTGGAACTTTTTCCATAGCTCAAAAATTAAAGATACTAGATTTAGTCGTTTCTAGTGATCTGAAATGAATAATATATATAAGCTTCTCGTCAATAGCTTTATGAGTCGGCGTCCCCGACTTGTAACCCAAAGATCGCGTTTCCGAAGCGCACATGGAGAAGATGTGATTTTTTAAATTTATTTAAGTTATTACAAAAAAATATATATTTTTACTTCCCAAACGTAAAGTAAAAAGGTATTGTAATCGAGCGCACTGGCCGACTCCATACTCGTATTTTCGTCGACCTTTCATGACCCTTAGAGTACGAAGAAGTAGGTCTCCCGTTTCCGTCTGCCTGTCTGTCTGTCTGTCATAGGGTGAAATTTGTGGCACCAAACCTCACTGAATCTAAACTCCGTTTAGGATTATGCACTCAAGTTAATCACGCTTCTAGGTTCGAAACTATCGCTAAACCGCAATTTTGTTTAACATGCGGCATGGGAATGAAATAAACTGAAACTGATGGAAACTAAGTTTCTTTTCAAGATTGTTTACTTCCATCCCATGGTTTACAAGCAGTTCACCATGTTAAATTTATGTTTAAAAAAACATATAGTAGGTGGGGGACAAAATAACTGGTATTTACGCCTGTGGAGTACCGGTAAAACAATAGGGTTTCTACCCTGCTCGCATGTGCGCACAGCCGACAGACCCATCGTAAATAGTCTTTGCGGTATCTGATTTTGTCCCAAAACCCTACCACGGAAGCATACATGCTCCCTCGCTTCCAACTTCTTCGATCTGCCGTCTCTCCGGATTTTTATTATAGAGAGATAATCTTCGAAACTGGACCGATTGTTTTTAAATTTTGTATTATACTTGTATATTAGGACTGCAGGACTTTTACAGCTGATTCAAAAAAAATAATGAATGGGGTAATTTGTTGTACTGATTACATTAAAAACGACTCACTCTATATTCCCGAAAATTTGTGTATACAGTACTGTTATTTTTAATATTACACTGCATCTAGCCAAGTTGATATACGTGTCCTTGCAAACATGTTGAAACGTCTCGAAAATGTGAGAATACGCACGCACGTCTCTATATAGTAATGATAAAATAAGAATTATATTCAGAACACTTTGTTCAACTGTGCTTTAATTAATAATTTTAGTCCTCTGTTTTGAGAAGACAAACTCATTCAAATCAAACTAATTTCTACGTGACATTCTTTCGATGTATAAATATAAATAAACACTTGAGCTTCAGATTGCTATTACCTAGTGCTGAAGGACATTTTATCCCGTTAGTTAAGTATTAAATATATTTTACATTGTCCAAACGGCGCAAGGGTTGCGGGAGCGTTATTTAGGCCGCTGATTTTTACTTTGCAGAGGTTATCACAAAACGAAAATCGTAAAATCAAGTTCTATAATTTTTTCTTATTTAAGAGCAGGATTTGGTCGATTATACTTCAATTTTTTTTATTTACGATAAGTGTTATCGTGGATCAAATAAAATTGTGCAAAACTAACTTTTATAATTTTTCGAAAAAATTGGATTTGTTTAATTGTATTGAAGGGGCGAGGGTAGTTCTACTTTTTTGCATTTCTTTTTTCCGGAAACCGGAAGGAATTGTAGAAACGTTTAGACTTCATTAAGTTATATAAAATATTTTAAAAAGTAGACAATGTATTTGTAATTTTATGAATGAGTAAATGTTTCTTTTTGTTACAGTGTATGATCGAGGAGAAAGCAAAGGATCTTCATGTTATCGGTTGTTATCAAGAAATGGACAATTTATTTATTTAAGGACATTTGGTTTTTTAGAAATCGATGATCAAGGGACTGTTGAAAGTTTTATTTGTATTAACACTTTAGTAAGTGAGAGTGAAGGTCTTCAGATGATAAATCAAATGAAGAAAAAATATTCAGCATTGATCAATTCACAAATTAGCCCGGTAAGTACAGTAATTCATAGTATGTCCACAAAACAAAAAATTAATTATAAAGTTATGCGCATCATGGTAATTTTTTTTATACATATACATAGTTCACTTTTTTTGATCTTATGATGAATATTGATTTACAACTGTTGTATTTATAATGAAATACGTTATTTTATACTCCATCTTTTAAGTATATATTTTCCATAAATCTTAATGATTGCCTTACCCTGGTACAGGCTGCGATTCTTTGCCGATAACACAAAACGAAGTAAATGTTATTATATTAACATAATATTTCTTCTACGTACCATTTTAATATATATCCCTGTTTGAAGTCTGCTAAACATCAACCATCCGCGCTGTTTTTTAATAACTCAAAACTGCATTGTTTGCATACTTGCATTATCCAAAATATTGTTAGGTTTCCAAGTAGGTTTTACTAAATTCCCATGTTTTTTTATGTGAATGGAATAGACGCAGTCGGACAAAACATTGGATCAGTGGACCGCGAAAGAAATTTTATTTCAGCTTCAAAAATGTCCAGGTTTTCAGTATTTGAATAAAAAAAATCCCGCATCGTTAGAAACTTAAATAAACAGGGAATTTCTGATGGCCCTCAAATTTGAAAACTTATGTATGATCCAGATTTTATAAAATCTAGGAACTAACTAAAAAAGTAGTGTGGGACGCCTTTAAAGATGAAATTGGCAAATTTCTTTCATAAACAAGATTATGAAAATATTGTCGCGAACAATAAATACAATATGTATTTTGTATATAGGAAATCAAATAATTGCTCCATACTCTAACCTAGATGTAACTAAAGAAAAAAACAACAAATAAAGTATTTATATCAGAAAAATCCCGATAATTTCTATAATAATATACCGGGTGTCGGGAAAATGGCGGATTAACTCTCCGCTACGCTCTTTAACAATCATCTGGCGAGTCTGGGAAAAATAGTAAAAAAAAATCCTTCTCACATTTTGGTGGAATTATAGTGATTTTAAAATGGGTTCTTTTGCTACGTTTAACAACTAAATAACTCATTCATTATCACAATAACTAGTAATAAAACTTTTAGTTAATATTTTTCTCGCCCATGACCATGTTTAATTGACATTTCAGTTATGGCTTTGTAAGCGATTTATATTGACTGAATTAATATTATATGGATAGTTAATTTGATTTTTTTTTCTACAATATGTTACAACATTGCATTTAGATTTAGAGACATTTAGCGACAGTCGATTCAAGTCGCACAGTACTTCATACGTATACACGGTTATAAATGTTACTTATTGTATTGTAGGTGGCTTTAACAAAATCGGAAAGCAACAAATAGATATGCGAAAACCACCTAGGATGTAAGAAACATTTATAATAACCCTGTATAAAATCAGATACAGTCGCTTTCAAAAAATTTCGGGCGAGATGAGCGAATCAGGTTCTCATAGATCAATGAAAAGCAATGGGAATATGACTTTCATGTCAATGTCATTTGCCCGAAATTTTTTGGAAACGGTATAAAAAAGTTAACAAAGCGTGGAAGTAAATCAAATATTAAACGAAAATATGCGTCACTTTATCTGTATGGAGGAAAGTTAATCAAAGGAGAAAGGGAGAGATTTTATCATTTGAGAATCCGTTGCTTTAATAACATTACACAACCCTTCTGTGGTGGCTTATTTAATAATTGTTTATAAAAAAACAGACCGAGTGACTACGGGTTGAAATATTTGGTTGCCAGTTTGTCTGTTGGGAAACTAAAGCGTTTTCTACTCAGAAAATATGTACCAGAGCCACATTGTTCAAAAAACAAGACGGTTCAAACGTTAAAACCGAAGTTTCATTAAAGCAGGAAATAAACGAGGCACCAGTTTCACTAAATAATCACCGAATATATAACACTCGTGCAAGTATTAAGCGCAAAGAAATAGTGGAAAAGCTAAAAATGATAATTGTTATGAAAATATATATATTTCAACAAGACTATATAAACAATCATACTAGTTCTTTAATGTTCTACGAAGGTTCATGCTGCCAGCGTTGAAATTGGTCAAACAAAATTATCCTCATGACTATTTCAACAAATCAACATTGTCTAAACTTTGAAATTGTTATAAATAAGAATGGGGGATATTTGGTATTTTATTTGCATATATTTATTCGACTAAAACCATGTAACTTCAGTTATAACATTGTTTATATTTCGTAATAGCCCTAGTTTAACCAGACCTCTATCGAAAATTCTGTTGTGTGTTTATTCATAAATTGATGTTTCACCGTTCAAACACCAGCTACATACACTTCTCCTAGCGCGAAATGAGAATATCGATGTTTGTTTGAACTTGTTTATTTTAATTTGGCACAAAAAAATGCTTGCCAATTTTGGAGACGTGTAGGTATCGATGCCATCTTGTTGTTGACTCTGTGGTAAATGGTAAACTATTCTAATACGGGTGGGAGTAGAGTGGACAATTTGTTTAAGCCGAACCCTTGTTCTGTAATTCGAATATTTGTACTATTTATTGATACTATAATTTTAAACTTAAAAAGGTCAGCTGTCAAAGTAAATTATATAAGTAACTAGCTGACCCCGTGAACTTCGTTTCACCTACAATTTAATTTTGAATCTGCAAAACCGAATGCTCTGAAATCTTGCAAATGTTTTAAACATATGATAAGCATAATAAATTTTTATTCAAAATATATTTATTTATCCCCTTCAAAAAATTGATGACGTCAGCCCAAAATTTTAGCCAAATGAATCCTATCTAAAATGTCCAAAATAGGATGAGACTATACTTGTGATTTATCATTCCGTTCATATTTTTTAGTTTTGCTTATAGGGGGTGTCTCAAAAAAATTAATCACTGAGTCAATTTATTTTATTGATTGAATCAAGAATTGCAAGGCTGAATTTTGAAATATTGCAGACGTTTGGAAGTGACTCAAAAAAATATTTGGATCAGTCAATTTATTTTAGTGAATAACTCCAGAGTTGCAGAAATGAATACTTTGAGATCTTGCAGACGTTTTAAAGTTATTGTAAGCATGGTAAATTGTTATGAATATTTATTTATTCCCCCCAAAAAATTGATGGAATGGCTCACTCGATTTTCGCAGATAATTTTGGGAATACAATACAGTTATTTTTAGTATTACACGGCACCAATCCAAGGTGGTATACGTGTTGATCGTAAGTGTTGATTAGGTCATCACAAAATTGTGTGAAGAAAAGACTTAACTCGAAAATGCTGAGTATGCTTCATTATACGTTTGGTGCGAAGGAAGTTCTGTCGAAACAACGTTCGATCAGTTTTTTGACAATGGTTGATATAAATAAAACTCAGTAGATGGTCATACTCGAAATACGAAGTATCTACTCGAATATAATATCAAAATATTTCTAGTTTTTCTAGATGATGCTAATACTTCAGTAGGTAACAGTTGATGCTCAAGTATCATCTCGATACAACAAAAAAGGTAAACAGTGACAGTGTTCAACCATCAAGGCAAAAATCGTGTCACCAAAATATAAGTTAGTATGGGGTAGACACCTTGAGATGGGAATCTCTATGGCCAGTGTTAGAAAAAACGCACTGCACAATTTATGCATAAATAAAAGTTAATTACCTGAAAAGTTTTCGATATTCCCGCTCCTAATGTGTTTTTCAAACTGAATGCACCTTTTGACGACGTTCCATGTTCATGAAAGTCGCCATGTTTAGTTCAAATTCACTCTTACAACGCTCCTACTAGTTTTCTAAGCTGCTTTACAGACAGCTCAACTATTTGCCACGCCGATGCTCATTTTTAGATTAAATGCTCATAAAACGCGTAGATGTTCAATTTGTGTCCGGGGAGATAGAGTGTTTCCAAGCAGGTGCTCAGTACATACAGTAGATGCTCAGGTATATAAGAGTAATAATGAAGTAGGTACTTCGTACTTCGAATATGAGTATCTACTCAGTTTTATTCATACCACCCAATGTCTCGCTTCAATGTTTGATTATGTTGATTATGAGCACAACGCTGATCAACTTCCATATCCGAATTACCCATGAAATAAATCATTGCGGTTTGCACCTGAGGTAGTTGGTCGCACATTTGATTGACTTCGTAGACCTATGTCAGCTTGTCGTCTTCTCGGCATTGTAATGAACTTCATAAAACGACAAAATTATTTTCACAGTCAATAAAATCTGTAAATTTTGTCTTGAGAATTTTAAAGTACTGAAAACTTCAAATTAAATCCTCGAATAACGGTAAAGTTTGAGGTTTTGTCGAAACCAACAAAGTTAATATAGAGTTGCTGCCAAAAAATTTCAGACGTCAATGTCATTCAGTCGTCAGATAGTGTAAAGCAACCTTTAGATGTTTCTATCCAAAATGTCATTTTTTTTAAGTTTTACATTTGACACTTACATGAAGGTAGCTGTAGCGTAAGCTCAGTGAGTCAGAATTAGTGGACATTCATTGTGGTAATTTTAAAAGAAGTAGAATTCTGTTGAGTACGCTGTATATTTACAGATTATTTTTTTCGAAATGGAAATAACGGATTCGGCTTTAAAATTTAAGGTCAGTTTACAGTTCTAGGTACGTGCGTTCGCTTGTGAGGCTGAAAATAAAATCAGTCAACGTAAGATGGTAAATCAAAAAACTGTAAATAAGTAATTTGATATTATGACATAAAATTATAGCAATTTATTATGTAAATTACATAAATATAACAATAAAACAACTAATACTTTGTCATGGCCCCATTAGCTTCTACAACCTTAGCCAAGTGTCTGGACATCGAAAGGCATAGATTTTTATTGTAGTTTAAAAGTAATGTATGTCACGTGTCCGTATAGACTCTTATAGAATCGTTGCGAGACGACTGGAAAACTTTTTCATCTGAAAAGACGACTCTGTTCCAAAAAGCTTCGTCTCGGGCTCCAGGGCAAATCCTACCTTTGCTTCCCGATGCCAAGGTGTAAGGAGCATTTTTTTGGCAGCGATAT